CCTCTTTGTTTTTTACTTGTACACTTTGTCCACACTTCCCTACCCCCCTCCCCTTTCCCCTTTTTTTTTTCTCTTCTCTCTTTTCTCTTCTCTCTTTTCCCTCTTTCTCACCCATCACTGCCCCAGGTGCTGATAAGATCCACCTACTTTCTCACATGGGTTTAAATCTGCAACCGGGTCGAAATGGGAATGCTGATCCTCAGCTTGACCCATTTGATTATGCACTGTTTCCACAATGTAACCCTATATATATATATATATATATTATTATGTTGTTGTTGTTTTGGCGATATACAGAACGTAAACACTGGGTGGAGTTCCATTGTAGCCTAGAATTATACATATGATTACATCTTTGCTTCTGAGAGATTTACCCCATTGTGTCACTGGAAGTGCATTGATCTCAGTTTAGCAAAGGAATGTTATTGCTTATGTAGCCCTAGACTTAATGTGAACCTGTAATTTTGCAGGTTTAGCCAAAGCAGCAGGTTTCCTTAAAAGCAGGCACCGCGAGAATTTTATACTTACCTTCCCTGAGCTACCCTGCACTCCAATCCACCAGCACAGTTTGCCAATAATCTGGTGCATGCAAGTAACAGCAAATGTCATTAGCTGGTGGTACACACTATAAGTATGTGGGGGTGGGTGGCACTGGGCTGTAGGTGGAGTGTGTGGCCATTGCATCATCAGGCAACCAGTGACATCACTGGTTGCCAGGAGCTGGATGGGACACCGGCCAGAGCGTGCCACTCATCTCCTGGCAACCAGTGACCAGAGATTGCTAAGAACTGGGTGGAGAGATGTGCATTGCCCTTTTACATCTCTCCTTACAGCTCTTCGTAACCTAGGATGCTCTGGCCAGAAAGGGGCCAGCAGACACACTGTGCAGCAGAGTGTCCGTGCCACTCTGTCTTCTGCCCCCCATGAGACCCAAACAGATGCCTGTAGGGTTATAGGGACAACTGTATTCACTTGATCCCAAACAGGCTAAATTGGGGTCCCCATTTTGAGTTCTGTCAAGGTCTTATTTTGTTAAATTCTGTTTAAAACCAGCCCTGTAAGAGACCCATAACCAGGACCAAGTTATCTTACATGGGGACATGAGGAGTGTGTGTAGGTCTAAACAGGTTTCCACTTTGTGTAAAGGAAAAACTGCAGGCATTTTCTGGTGCTGCAGGGGTGGACTTGAGCAATGGATGATAAAGGTAAGTATAGAGTCCTTGTGGAGCCTACAATCAAGCAAACTTGTTACTCTGCCTAGTCCAGGCAAGTGCAGGTTTGTTTTTAACCTCTTGCCGTCCGCCCGTAGTAAAAAAATAAAACCCCCAGTGGTGAATAAATACCACCAAAAGAAAGCTCTATCTGTCCCCAAAAAAGGGTATAAAATTCATTTCAGTACAGCGCTGCATGACGGAATAAATGTCAGTCAAAGTACCGCAGCGCTGAATACTGAAAAATGGCCTGGATGGGAAGGGGGTTTAACACCGCGGATGTCAACTGGTTAAGGAAATCTTCATGAGTGAAATATGGAGGCTGCCATTGCTGATATCTTCTTGAAAATACTAGTTGCCTATTTGTCATGATAGTACTTTAGCTTCAGTAATTTGAAAAGTATAAAGATACAAAACGCTGCCTTTTATTTGCTGCATGCTCGTTCCTGGTAACTGACTTAGGAATACTGAAGCCAAACACAGCCAGGCAACTAAAATCTCCAGAATAAGGCCAGCAATGGCAGCCCCCCTATGGCACGTGTACTTTAAGGTAACATTCTTGCTAATGCTACACAGGCGAGTTTATCACTTGTTATCAGTCACCTTATTTTTATTGCACGGAAAACAACGTGCTGCTAATGAGATGACTGTCAACAATTGGTTTAACTTCAAGCAAAGATTAAAAATGCTGGTAAACTCTAGCATTTCAATCTTTCAGAGTGCAAATATACTAAGATTTTTTTTAGTGCTTTGTTAGGTAACAGCTGCCATGATGACCAGTTGATTACTTTTCATCAAAGGTCAGGTAATAATACATTATGTAATTTTGTCTAATAAACACATTTTGTTAGAAAACACTAAAAAGCGTAGAGAGAAAACACTAAAAGTAGCGAAAAACCTCTCCTTTTAAAAGAAAGATAATACCTGAGAATATGACCTGATAAAACTTAATCCAGTGCACCATATAAACCCTTTCTCTGCTAGAGCTGTTTTTGCACACATGTTATAATCCACATTACATAAAGTGACATTAAAGGTTCCCGGGCCTGCAGGAGGGGCAACGGAGCCTGGGAAGCAAATTGGGGGGTGTAAGACAGGCAGGGGGGTACAAACATTTACCAGTTTACAAGGGCCTACTGGTGCCAATGTATGATATATGTTGGAGGCAGTGAAAGGGTTAAAATTGATAGATGATATAAATCCACCATCGAGTTTTAGTGTGTTCTTGTTTAAAATAAGATTCTGCTTTGTTTGTGAAGGTTCTCACTTATTCAGGTCATGGTAGGGCTAGTAGTAGTACGTTACATTCAACTGAGCATGTTCTGTAATGCTGAAGACATTTTGCTGCTTACCTAAGTTCCTTCTTGAATGAGTGGTGAAACGTCTTCAATATTACAGAACACAAGTCAATTGAAATTGACTAACTACGACTAACTATAAGAGTCTGATTTACTAGTTAAAAGCCTGTTTAATAATATCCTTCAAACTAGTGTCTCCTAAATATTCCATCATTTGCAGTAGTTCATATAATTCTGAAAATAATTTAAATAAATAGAAAAATATAAGCAGAAATGTAAGCATATTACATATACAATAAAGTAAATATATCTTTATAAAGAACTGACTGAAGAGGTAGGGTATGTACTATGAAAATCATTTCAGACATACTTGCCAACAGTCCCAATTGTAGCCATCTCATTGCCCTTTTAATTTTTAGAAACAAAGGGGGAGGCCTGGTGGAAAAGAGATGCCACTTTGCTGTACATAAACATGATTCGGTGGAGCAAAGCACATAGCTTGACTTTCCCAAATGTTCTAACTGGGAATACCAGAAGGTATGCCCATAGTTTTGGATCAAATCATTCAGGCTAAACAATCTAGGACTTGTCGTGTGTGTGTGTGCGTGTGTGTGTGTGTATTAAAGTAACATAAAATAGCTAGAAGCAATATAATCACTTTGCTGCTGACAACTCCAAATACATGTAGGGTTATAGGGACAACTGTAGTCACTTACGCAGGTATCAGACACAGAAGCAAGTCAAATGCAGTATGCTTGCAAGAAAAAACGTTTGCTTTTGAGCTTTTGAGATTGTTTTTTAAACTGTTTCTTTGATGTTTTTTTCATTCACATTGACTTGTATCGGGGAAAAAAAACAGTTTAAATACAAACAAATGCTCAAGTACATGAGTCCTAAGTATAATTCAAAGGGTTGTGTAGGCATTATATATAATAGTCTCAGGTAATTGCTAGGAATAATAATTGCATTTAGATATTTTTGCTTCACAAACATGTGCCTATTAGCACAGAGTTTACATAGATTTTCACACCAGTCCATGACTGTACTCACATCCTGTTATCCATGTTGTGAGCAATGATACAGTGTATGTAAGAGAGAAAGGGGATGCTTTGAAGGTTTTTAGCAGGATCACAGAATGCAGGTGCACAGCAGGCAGTCTCCATTGTGAAACAATACCTTACATCCTACAACCCCATTGGAAATTTCTACCTTCCAAGTATGGGACAAACCAAGTCATTACTGAGCAAACAATTCCCATGATTAAGAACTCTCAATTGGGGAGTTGGGTGACGGGGGCTGGTAGGGGGTGCCAATTGGAATATGTACTTTCTGAAAAGGTTGAATTTGTATAGCAACTTTGGGAGCCAGGGCATCATGTAGAGTATAGTACTAATTTAATTTGGAGGGTACCGTCTATGCACTCTTGCAGTCATTTTAGTTTCTGTGAGTGTGTGACAATGCACTTTAAGAAAGACCCTGCAGTGTATAGACAGAAGTGAGGTGCTACAGGATTAGATTATAGCCTGGCATTTTCCGCATATATCTCAGTCAGGGGGCATCAACAATCTCTGTCTCAAGCAAGGTAAAGAACAATTATAACATGATCTCCTGCTTTGCTATAGTTTCCATATGCTTCATTTTCATCTTTGTTATTCATTGTCATTGTCAAAAATACAAGTTAAAATAATGCATTCTGCCAGATACAGCCCTTTGTGAAATGTCTTGTATCCTATAGCAAATACCGATTTAAGAAATGGCCAACAGTATTTATTTCTTATTAGGCGATAAATCAATACTGAGATTACTATATTCTACATATCCCCAGATCGGAGAGCCTAGAAACATTCATCTAACCTCCCACATATATACTAAAAGAGGAGTGTCACTGCCATAAAAACCGACATAACCGCCTATTAAAAACTAACTGTTACAGCAGCACTGGGATGTTATTTTTAATGATGTTTCCAGGCAATGTTCCCAGGTAAGTAACAGCACCACTTGAAAAAGCTGCTAGTATGATAGATCCAATTATTCTACTTGGTCATTGAGTAACCAAATGTATATCAGATCTGGTGATTATTGTTAATGGCCAAATCAGATATATCCAGTCCTTTGACAATTATGACAATGGGCTGAGTTGAACGGTGTACCATCAATACAAGCAGGCACTGACTATTTACTAGTCATATGCACTCATTATTAACTTTACCAACCATAGCATTGTCCAGCTGACTGTTCTTGACAACATTAGGGTTGAAATCTTTTTACGGTCACAAATGCTTTGAATATACAGTCACTTTGATTAATCAGTGTGTTTATATGTGACCCATCTGCTCTTTCATTAACGTTCTTGTACTTGAACCTGGAGGCCAACAGCTGAATGGGGAATGCATTTCCCACAATAGCCTCCACATCTTCCATATATTTTAGTCCCATCCTATGGAGAAAGCACACACACTTAACATATGTGTCACATGTTGTACAAAGCATCAGAACAATTGCATGTTTTTTTGTTTTTTTTTATATTGTAGCAATAATCAAGTCTTCAAATCTACTGCAGCATCACTCAAATAATGGGTTTCACATCCAAAGGCCTTTCATAAAAACTGTCTGTAGTGCCCAAAAGCAACCAAACAGTTTTCAGCAGCCATTTTCATTTTATATTTTCTGACTGTCAAAGTGGCTAAACAGACAGTTCTTACAAAAGGTATATTGATAAATGAGGATAAATGCATTTACCAATAACATGTTTATACTATGCTATCTTGATAAGAACTGCTACTTTATTTGCTGAAAACAAGAATGTATAAAACCGTATACACTGTCACTTATAAGATAAGACTTAAAAAAATTAAGTTTGTTTTCAAAATTCAACAATAAATACTATAGGGTTGATTTACTAAAGGCAAATAGGCTGTTCAGATAGCAAAGGGAATTTTCACTTTTCATGGGAATTTTTACTTAGCTTAGTGAATGAGGTGAAGCTCTGCTGACTTCTATCCTCTAATCATATGCAAGCAAAATGTTTAACAATTATTGTTTAATTTTCCATGCATGCAAATTGGTATTCTTTGTCAAGTGAATTTTTACCACATTTACTAAGCTAAGTGAACATTCCCTTGCACAGTGCACAAAATGCACTCTGCAAAGTGAACATGCTCTACTCCTTTAATAAATCAACCCCTATGTTTCTAAATGTTGTTTGTGTTAAGAGTTTTTGGTAACGTAATTGCCTAAACCCACCTGTGATTTGTGCACATTGACAGTTGCATAATTTCCTTGAGCCATCCATTTGGTTGCATCTGATACTTGAAAATCTGTTCCTGAGAGATTGATGCTGAACTGCCCCTGTAATAGTGGAGAAGGAGGTAAGACCTGATTGTTTTCTTTCTTCACAAAAGTAGACACAGAGTTGGTATGCTCAAGCCTTAGCTTTTTAGTTGTTATAAAGAGAAGAAAGGCCACAGAAAGGTATCAATATTATTATTTACTCTTCAAATTTCTTTAAAAAAATTACAACAGAAATATGGTACCATTCACCTACTGAAACAATGCTTCTGGAAGCCATGGTTGACTTCCCAATGGGCTTGACACATTTTTATATGACAAACCTGAGGCTAAAGCATAAAAGAACATTGCACAACATTTCTGTATTTGTGGATTGGAATAGTAATGAAAACACTAAAAATTGAAAAATGCTTCAAAGGAAACAAGTGAAGATAGATTTACTGCATGGAAGCTGTTTGTACTAACTTTATTTGACATACTGATAAGTTAATAGTGTTTGTAGCCTAGGCATCAAACAATTAAACATGTGAGGCACATTTAAAGTTCAGAATAGTTTAAAAAAACACTTAAAAATATAACTTCTTCAAAGGGGGTCTATGAAAAATAGATACGGTATATGGAAGCTGCCACTACTGGCATGTTTTCAAAGATGCAGACTCTGGGGCTGTCATCCTGATACGCATTAGGCTGTAAAAACAGTATCAGGATTCTCTAAAGACATCTAGAAGAGTGTATTCAGAACTTAAAGTGGAATATTAGACACACTTTTTTAGGCAAATAACATTTTAGGAATAAATAGTTATCAAATGCATCCTCCATGTTTCTGTCATTACAGGTTTCCATTAATACCTGTATGTATGTAGATAATACTGTCACCATGGATTTTGTTCCAGTGTCCTCTCTTCTCTTTCATAAAAATATTCTGAAGACGTTAACAAAGAGTAGACGTACCTGTGGACACTTGGCAGCACTGTAGCAGTCACCTGCTGTGGCAAATGGAACAGCTCTACCAAGGATTGTTTGAGCAAACAGAAGATCTGTAGCTATACATGCAAAAAACAAAAAACAATTCAGACAAATAAACACCCACAGAGAACCTTTCTAGCTTCTCTATTCTTGAGGTTTTTATTATTTTGTTTCATAATATCTATTTATATATTGAAGTTGTCTCTCTTGCACTGTTAAGGTAACGTTTTACCCTATTATATTTTATATGTCTCTATTATATGACAGTGTGATTTCAAATGCAAAAGCACTTGTGCAGAAGTGAAAAGACTACACCATTTCCTTACAAGAACACTTTTCTAAGAGAACATGCAAGCTGTCAATGATGGCTTCTCATTCTGCAAATGAGAGTTGTTTTTTAGCGTTTTGGTTAGAGCATCCCATCCATAAGAACTTACAAGTTTGCTTACAGCACATACCTCTCCCCTTACATATACCTATCCTCAACATCCAATTTACGACTGCCTAGTGTTCTCTACTCCTCAATCTGATGACCTTCATATATAACACAATGCTTGTACAATAGAACAATTTCACTCAGATGGATAACATTCAAGAGAGTAGGGGTTGAGGACACTACAATGGCTTCAGTGCGTTTCACATGCTTCCTCAGGAAGTGTGGTAGATCGATATATATTAGAACAATAATACAGATCAAATCTCCCATCAATAGAAGGCAGGGATGAGGATAAGAGGTCTGCATTAAGTTACTTCACAGCCTCATAGCAATAAATCTCACTACAATAGATCATGGAGCAATCAAGGAGCTCCCAGATGTCTAGATCACCATGCAGTTGTAAGATATCCAAACTTGAACAGTATTACCACCCCAAAAGGGAGGCAAGATCAAGGTATGCTGTGATACTAGTGGATGTGTTTAGATAGTGAACCCACCAGTCATGTTGGCGGACACTCCAAGTGGAATGTTTCCAAGGAAACATGATGACTAAAACTAAAATAATATTTTACACTTAAGTGGTTTATTGATGTAGCACCTGAAAAGTCTGCAAATAAGAGTCGCCTGCTTCTTGCTTCAATGTTTTCAGCTGCTGACCCAAAATAAGTGCTGATAAGGAAGTCTTACTTTAACCTGAATTTCCTAAACTGCATATTTGTTCCAGGTCAGTGTCTCAGAAAGTACTGTAGCCAATGTGCCAGCATAACAGACAGGAACGTAGCATTTTCAGAAGAAGGTTGGCAATAGCAGTTCCCATGCTGATCTCAGGTAAGGTTTGCTTTAAAGTATAAATGTTATATTTGAAAACTCACTTTTGATTTGCATTGAGATTATATCCAGTCGTATTTTACTGAAGACAGTTAAGCCAGCAGCAAGGTAATCATTTTTGCATACACAGTCTTGTTTTCTGCTCCCATTAAAAGGGCACTCATATGGGTTTTTTAGCCTATAAAGATATAACTATTAGAATTTACATGTGAAAACATAGTATACTGATATGAGTTACTTGACCGATGCAAAATTATGTAGTAATGAATACTGTAGATAAGCATTATGGAATGATTCAATCCCTGACAACAGGGGGCAAACAAATGTAGTCCAAGCCTAAACAGTGTAAAGTAGAAAGCAAATTCTAAATATTCTAAATATCAATCTAAAGGGACACCATTAAAAAGTAAAATTAAAATATATAAAGTTTAATATACACCTACTACAGGGGGTACTCAATCAAGTGCATGCAACATCTTATAAATCTACCTAATTGTATATGTATTAAATACATCTAAATATGTAATAGCAAACATTGTCTTCCTAGCTCCCACCCTCATTTTTACCCCTGGCTACCATGGACAAAATAATACAGTGGAAATCTTTGAGGCATATGAGACCTAGCCATTTTTTCCTGCTTGTTCTTTGGGTTGTTCAGAAATCCTGAGCACTAGAAAATCCAACGCCTAAGATATAATTTAATAGTTAAAAAGAATACCAGTAGAAGAGGCATTAAGGATTTTTTTTAGTCCCTCTACCTACAATAAAATGTCATGGTATCAGCTACAGTAGCAAACAGTATTCAAGTTCCCAAACTTGTCACCAAGCAGCAGCAGTGAAATTGATTCTAGCTATGCTGTTGGCATTGCCTGCTGGATAGAATGTTCATCTTTTCAGTCAAACCAAAATAATGACTCTAACATTGTGAATATGAGACAGGTTACACCGTCCTTATCTTTCCCAAGTTATGTTATAATGATCCTAGTAACATTTTTCATATAGTATTAAAATACCTGTATCCAAACACCTCAGAAAAGTTGTCAGCTTCACTTTTAACTAGGGTTATATATTCTTTTGGATTATCTGACTCCATGCCTGCACAATAGATCTGCAAGAAAAAAAATCAAAAGGAAATAGAGTAGCATTATTCATTATAAAGCAGTACATGTATGCACCGAATAACTGTTTGCTTTTAAACAGCCAGTGAATCTTTTCTCATATATAAATATGTCAGCCACTCTTTATCTCTCACTTTTTGCTACACATTGGAATTTCCCATTCTTTACTAAAAAATCCAGGTCTTAGTAATATTTCACACATTAGTAACACAGGTAGTCTTGATCGATTTCTAACTTTTGCAGTTTTGACTTCACAATTCATTGATTTGGAGAAGGAAAAAGGGATATGTGGAGGTAAAAGTTGTATTATCATAAGGTCCAGGTAGAGAGCTGCTAAGTAGACCATGTAAAGGTCTAGGCACCTCTCATGTGTTGATGAGAAGGATGTGAAAAAAGAGATTTTAAAAAGCATTGCTCTCTTTAATCGTGTGTAATATTTTTTTAAAGATCTAAATGTAACCTGACACGTTTCAGAGTCTGTGCCATTTCTTTAGGGTGTGTGTAAACCAACCATTACTGTGTGAAGCACTCCCAATCATTGCATTTCTGTGCACCATAGTTACTAAACTGAAGATATGCAGCTGGTAAATTGGTCCCTGCTGGTTCTCTACTATGCTGTATGTTTACCGTCTTTGCTGCTCTCTGTTTACACGCATCCATAAGCCTTGAGGGAGCAGACGCAGATCTTTGATGCATGTCAGATAACTATTACATTTTCTATATAAAAGACTAGGGTGTCTATTCACTAAGCTGCCGTAGGCAGCCGAGTGACTAACCGACCCGAAGCGAAGTGAGCTGAACGCTGTTCGGCTATTCACTTCAGACTGGTACGGCTGGTTCCAGACGAATATCGGCTGAAATCAGCCGTCCATCGGGTTGCCTCGGGTCGACCGAACATGCTTAACATGTTCGGCCGACCCGAAGTGCAGAAGGAGTTCGACTCAGCCGATCCAACATCTGGATCGGCTAAGCCGAACCTCTGGCAGGCTAGTCGCTGCTGTTCGGCCTATTCTCATGGATGCCGAACAACAGTGAGTGAATAGCCGAATGACGCCGAGCGCCATTCGGATGGGCTGTTCTGCTAGGTACCTCTGTGGTACCGAGCAGTGCATCTGTGGTACCGAGCAGAATAGAAAAACAGTTTAAAAAAGTAGTAAAAGATAAAATAGAAAACGATTGGGCGGAGCTAGCAGTGACAGCTAGCTCCGTCCAACTGTTTTCTATTGGCTGGGCGGTTCTGCTGCAGTCAGAATAAAAAAAAAAAACACCATAGGAATGCATAGCTAGATTCCTATTGGCTATTTCACTTTGCAATAACCAATAGCAAACTAGCTATTGCACCCGCCCTCTGCTGCTGTCAATCACTAGAGGGGACCTGATGGAGAACTTCAGCAGCAGCGGTGGGCAGGTGCTATAGCTAGTTTGCTATTGGCTATTGCAAATTGAAATAGCCAATAGGAATCTAGCTGTGCATTCCTATGGTGATTTTTTTTTTAATTCTGACGGCAGCCAACGGCTCAGATGTCAGAAGAAAAAAAAAACAGAGCAGGGAAAGGTTTACTCTGCTTGATCGAGCAGAGTAAACCTTTCTGGGAGAAAGTGTTTCTCTCCGGGGGGGCCGGGAGCCTCTATCTAATAGTGGAAGACTCCCGGAGCGCCCGGGAGAGTTGGTCTGTCTGGAGATCAGTGTCCCTGGGTGCCTGGTAACCAGGGACACTGATCTGTCTGTGCAAGTGGCCGGAGCCAGCTGTGAGATGACGGCTGGCTCCGCCCAGAAGTCAGTAGCAGGCTGTCGGCTGGCCAATGGCCGACCGTTCGGCCAGCTTCGGCTTTCACCTCGGCTCAGTCGAGCCGAAGCATATGCCTTCGGCTCGACCGACTTCGGGAGCTGTACAGGCTATAGTGAATAGCCCGTACAGCAGGGTCCTGGGGCCGAAGCTATGGCTAGATCCTTCGGCAGCTTAGTGAATAGACCCCTATATGATTAAAGAACTCTGGTTAAAAATGTTATAAACCCTTGCAGTGGTGCTACCTCCTCACTGTAAGGGTTAAGTGCTCGTTTTTGTCTAGGTGCTGGAAAAAAAAAGCAGACGGGGAGAGGAGTTCCAGACATTGGTCTAAGGAGAAACTGGCTTGGATGGTCTAGTGAGTATAACTTTTTTTTACCACAAACAAAATTGAGCAGTTAACCCTTGCAGTGTGGGGATAGCCCGAAGTCCACATTACATAGGACTGTATTTGCCCTCTCCACCTGGCACTTGGGAACTTAATAAATGTGGAGAGTGCCAACAGCTGGGATTAAATTCAACCTAGGTTTAATACCTGTATAATTAAATATTTAAAGTGTTCCCTTCACTTATTTACCTTCACTTTTCTGTTGTTCATTTTTAGTGTATATTCACCATTGGCTTGTGTGTTTTTAAGGAGACGAATTTCCTTGCAGCTCTTGTATTCACCTAGGAAGAACAAAAGAAAGGTCTGTGCAAAAATTATGAAATAAGATAAAGTAATATATGTAAATATATAAAACACACAGAGAACATTTTTTTCAGTGGAATTTGGCTGCAAAAGAGGAAATGCACTTTAAACTGATCTCTTTTACATGTTTATATAAAGCAACTGGAGATGTATTACCTTTAAAGGGTCTTATTGCATGATTTGCCAGTGTTACTAATATCAAAATCATGACTAAGGTGTCAGGGACCGACTCAAGAAATGTGGATCCTAGATACACTTGTTGGATACCTTGGGTGGTCGGAAAGGTGCAAGTAGTATAGAACAATAGCCCTCAGAGGAACAAGAGGATGCTACAATATATCTGATGCTGCTCATCTAGAATCACAGCATGTCTTGCATGAAAGGCTTTGGGGTTGATTTACTAAAGACAAATAAGCTGTTCTCTTTGCAAGAAAAAAATCCCCTTAGCTTAGTGAATGTGGTGAAAATTGACTTTGAAAAGAATACATGTACAAGGAAATAAAAACTGTATTTTTGCTATCACATGAATGGGTGGTGGAAATCAGCACAGCTTCACCTCATTCACTAAGATAAGTAAAAATTCCTTTGCAAAGTGAACAGCCTATTTGCCTTCAATAAGTCAACCCCTTTGTATCTATAGAATGATAAACATTTATATATGTATAAAAGTAAACTAATGCGTAAGTCACTAAACTAGAACAAGCATGTTCATAACCTGATATGCTCATGCTTTTTCCAAGTTAGTAGTGAAATGACATACAGGGATGACAGTCCTGGAATCTAAACCTCAAGAAACAGGTTAACAGTGGAAGCTCCTATACTACTATCCAGGCAGGTTCTATTTAAGGATGTATCTAGGGACCAAAGAACAAAAATTACTCCAGCTTTATTTCATTCATGTGCCTATGTAAGATATGATTAACATTTGTTTATCTTCATCTTAATTCAAACATGGAAGTCTGCTTTACAACCCCCAATGATGTAACACAAAGGGGTTTCCTTTCCTACAACCGTTTACAAAAAAGATCATACAAACACTTAAAGCTGAAGTTCAGTAGTTTTTTTGGAATACAGCACCTAACACATTAGTTACATGCAAGGCCCCTGATAGGGGAATACAGGCAGCCCTCTGGGCTCCTACCGTGCCGGGTCCCCATCAAGTCTGCAGGAAGGCATGAACTGGTCACGGGCTGGTTCTAAGGAAGGAGGATGGTCCTGCCCACTTACCATAGTAACCAGTTGATGGACAGACTCCTCCCCTATGGGTATCTAAGTGCTCGGGCAGGTAAGGAGGAGAGGAGTCTGTTCATTAGCTGGCTACTATGTTGAGTGGGCAGGACCATCCACTGAGCAGGCTAATCAGGGACCCGCTTATTTGTCTGGACTGTGCTTAGGCTCTGCCCCCATGTTGCCCACGGTCAATGGTGTCTCCGTTGGCAGGAGCAGGAGTCCTGCCCTGAGGTAAGCTGCACAGGATGAGCAACTGAGAAGAAACTAGGGGGTAAACAATGTAAAAAGAGGGATCGCCTTCCACCCTCTGAATCCCTCTTACTACACTGCTTAGCTCTGCACCAGCTACCACAGAGGGTGCAGAGGTGAGCAATGCAGGAAAGGGATGCATTGGGTGCAGAGGGGAGCACTGTAGGAAGAGGGATGCAGGGGTGCAGAGGTGAGTAATGTAGAAAGAGGAATGCAGGGGTGCAGATGTGAGCAGTGTAGGAAGAGGAATGGAGTGGGTGTAGTGGGTGCAAAGTTGAGCAGAGTAAGAATAGGAATACAGGGAGTGTAGAGGTAAGCACTGTAGGAAGATGAGTGATGAAGTGAGCAGTGTAGAAAGGGGGGTGCAGAGGCGAGCACTGTAGGTGCAGAGGTAAGCAGAGTAGGAAGAGGGATGCAGTAGGTGCAGACATGAGAAGAGTAGGAGCAGGGGGTGCAGAGGTGAGCAATGTAGAAAAAGGAATGCAGGGGTGCAGAGGTGAGCATCCAATAGTTATGAAGGCAGCATGAAAAAAGGATTTATATAAGAAGCAGCAGCTTGCAGTAGATTAATACACACCAATACACATAACTAATGTGTTTGGTGCTATATGCCAACCCCCCCCCCCCC